AAAATAATAATATTTAAATGAATTAAGAAAAGAGTGAAAAAGGAGCACCATTGGGCTTGTGCTAGAATTAACATTAAAAATATTATTTTATTGATAAAATATTAAAAATTTAAAATTTAAAAAGAAAGAAAAGTATGTAGAATAGATTTATTGTATCAAAATACAATGTGTAAATGTTGTGGACCGGCCACATCCATGAGATATAAGTGTGGCTGAGATTTTGGGCTATGGATGGGGATGGTCCACGATGTATTGTGGACCAGTCCCATCCAAAAGCAATAGAATGATGAATTCACCCCGTGGCGTGGACCGAAATGGATCCACTAGATGAACACACTACTGAACACCACCTAAATTTTCTAATTGAAAAATTAGTTGATAATTTTCAGTTATATGTATTTATAGTCATCATTATGGGTGGCCAAGAGACAAGCTCTTCACGAGCAACTCGAGCTCGGCTTATGAAAAACTTGGCTCGACTCGGTTTCAACTGAGCTTGAGCCCAATTTATAGGTTCGATTAATAAATAAGTCGTGCTCGAGCCTAATAGAGCTCATCTTGTGAGGCTCATGAGCTGAGCTCGAATATATATATATATATATATATATATATAATAAATAAAATTATAAAAATATATATATAATAAAAATATTATAATTCTTAATTATTATAATTCATAATTTTTTTAAATATCAAATAAAAAATATTTTTTATATATAATTTTTTATTTTTATTAAACATTTTTTTCTCAAATTAAGCTCAAAGTTCTAGCTCAAACCAAGCTCGAACTCGAGCTCGAGCTCGAGCCTTGTACTACCTTGGCGAGATGAGCTCGAGGCTCATACTATTCGGCTCAACTCAGCTCAAATCCACCCCTAATCATCACTAGAGAATTAAACCATGCATGCACGCTACTACTATGCATGTACCCAACAGCCTGGCTGAAGTTGCCAAAACCTTACATCCTATTTAAACCATTTACCATAACATAAGATTATATATGGCAGAGTTCTGAATTTTTTTTTGACCCGCCCATTCAAGGATTTTGTCCTAATCATTTTATTCTCATAACTAGGTCTAGGGTCTTGAAGTTTTCGGTTGTCACATAATCATTTAATCATTTAATTTGTAAAATCTTCCCCGAGTTCTGGTAGTGAAAAGATTTGATTCTAGTTCACAATGTGACTTTTCTTTTCATCCTATCAAACTTTCCAAAATAAATCTTCCAAACTAATTGCAAATGTTTTAACCAAAGAAAATGGGTGGATTCAACTTCTCTAAAAATGTGGCCAATCTCCCTCTAAGAGCTTTTGTGTGAATTGAAAAACCTTGATTCCCACTTTGTAGCCCAAAACACCTCAAATTATATATTCACTATATCTATGCCTAGAGAATTCACTCAAAGAAATCATATACAACATGTAGAAGAATAGAAAGAGAAAGAATTAAAAGGAGTTAGAGAGAGATTCAAAACAAAATATGTATAGAATTAAATAAAATAAGGAAGAGTAGGTACATCTCAATGTTTCTACTAATGAAGAGTCCATTGACAATGTTGGGTATGGGTTTAATCTGTGATGCATTGGAAGGAAGGACATACTGACCATGGTTCTCACAAACTTTCAAGTTCTACACTATGTCTCAATTGGAAACAATATACTATAATTGTCTTTTAATCAAGGTTGGGGACACATATATTCTGTAACCATCATGGTTCATGACCACCAAAATCCTCCAAGCTCAATTCATTGAAGATATTTTTGAAGTAAATTGAATTTTTAGTTTCTATTGCCATAGTTTCTACAATAAATAAGTAAATAAATTAATAACTGAATTGGTTTCTAATATGTTGAAAATTCCTAAATAAAATAATTCTAATCCAACTAAGCTACTTTTTTATTGAAAACAGCATTATTATCCTATGGAAAAATATTGGAATTTTTCATATTAATAATAAGTAAATTTTTTTTCTAGGTAGGGGTGGCAAATGGGTGGCTTGGGTTGGTAAGTGTTGAACTCATTGACCCACTAACACACCATGACCCATCATCAATCTTTATTAAAGGATCATAACCGATCCTAACCCTGACCCACCCATATTGACCCACTTGACCCATCCATCTAACCCTTACCCATCCTCACCAATACTGACCTACCTACCCTCACCTATAAATATGGAAATGGGTTGGGATGGCCCAAATACCAAAAAATAACAAATTTTAAGAGGAGCGTCTCTTTCAAGGTTGTTATGTGACAGAAACGGGTTGGGTCGACCTTGTATACCTGGAAATAACAATTTTTTAGAGGAACATCCCTCTCAATGCTACCATGTGGCAGAAATGGGTTGGGGCAATCTGTATACCTGAACAAAAGTAACATTTTTTTAGAGAATCATCTCTTTTAAGACTGCCACGTGACAGAAATGAGTTGGGTCAACCCGTATATCTGAAAAAACATTTTTGAGAGAATCATCTCTCTCAAAACTGCCACGTGACAGAAATGAGTCAAGTTAACCCATATACTCAAAAATGCAAAAATTGTAGATAAATATGCAGAAAATAGCTAAAAAAATATAGAAAATGCAAAAAATACCAAATAATTGTAGAAAATTCAGAAAAATATAGAAAATACCAGAAAATTATAAAAATATAGAAATTAAGTAGAAAAATGCAGAAAGTAACAAAATAATTGCAAAAAATGCAGACAAATACCAAAAAATTTCAGAAAAGTACAAAAAATACCAGAAATTACAAGAAATGCATGAAAACACTGGAAAAATTGCAAAAATTATGCAAAAAACACCAAAAATTGTAGAAAATGCAAAGAATACCAAAAAATTTCAGAAAATGCAGAAAATACCACAAAATTGCAAAACAAATGTAGAAAAATACCAAAATATTATAGAAAGTTCAACAAATTTGTAGAAAATGCAAATTAATGCATAATTGTTTGTAGAGAAATGCAAAAGAAATACAGAAAAATTGTAAAAAATGCATGAAAACATACCAATAAAGCATGGAAAAAAATGGTAAGAGGAATAGTATTGTATAGGATAACTTGGATATGGATACACTTTGGAAATGCATGAATATTGACAAAAAATATGGAAACGTATGAATACACTAGGAAAAGACATATAAATTTTATAAATACATATATAACACTACATTTTAGATCAAAATAATCAAAAAATAATATATAAATACATTGAAAATCTAAATTTTACTGATATATATATATATATATATATATATATATATATATATATGAAGAAATATATTACAATTAATATACCAAGATGTGAAGATATCATATAATTATATTTATAATGGATCAATCAAAAGTCCAAAATACTAAACATATACACCTATTATATTTTAATTATTATATCAATTATTGTTTTATTTTACTATTTTAATTTTTTAAAAATAACAAAAAATAAACTAAAATTAAAATACCAATTAATAATTTATAAAAATATAATATTAACTTAGAGTATAACAAATTTGTTAAAATTTTTAAGATACATATGATATACAAATTCATAGTTTTTAATTACTAAAATAGTTATTCCATTATGAATATTTTTATTTCAACAAATTTTATGAAATAAAAACATTTTTGTTGAAATAAATATAGATTAGTGGTATTGATAGATTCAATTTAATATTATATTCTTCAATACTTTGTTTATAATGTTTTTATTTTTTGTAAATAATAAATATTTTGTTATTACTTATTAATGTAAATTAAAATATAAGTTAATAATGTATAAAAATATATAAAAATTTTAATATTTATATCATGTGCAAATATATAAATTTTAAGTATTATAATTTACAAGATGATGCTAACTTAGACGTGTAATGCTATACGCAGGAAACTGTGAATATCAACTCCCTTTCTTCTTCCATGTTGATGGTACTGTTGTGAATGTAGTTTTGTACCCGACCAACCATTTATACTTTATAGTCGCATCATCTGGTAGTGATCATTCTCCAAATGTAAACGACATTTTCACCATTAGGTACTTTCTAAGATAATAGAAGTTACTTTTGTCTCTTTTGTAAAATAAACATTAAATGAAGATGTAGAAAGACATATTTGCCATTTATGTTTTTCCTATTCAAAGTTTACAAATGGGATATTTTTGGTCTAATGAAAATTCCGAAAGCCAAGACACTTGTTTACAGTTTTATAGATATTATAGATAAAGTTAATATAGATTTGTTTCATGGATTGTTCTGGTTTAATAGTAAAATGCAGTAAAACAACACTTAATGTAAGTCTTTGGTTATATTCGTTAGTTGAATTTTGAAAATGTCATTTCTTCTAAATTTGGTTATTGATTTCATAATTTCTTGACTTTATAAGACGCACAATTGGGAGTAGCCATTTCCCGGCCCAAACCCTTAAGCCCCGACCCTAGTGACAATAGGCCGGGTTTGATCCTAAGTCTCCACTACAACTAGCTGGAAAATGTAACAACTGAACTACCATTAGTTTGTTCTCATGTTGAGCAGTTAATACATGTACTTCTCCTAATATGCAACTTATATTAAAATGAATAAGTTTGAAGGTCAATAATTATTAGAAAGAAGAGAAAATTATTTTTTCCATTTCCCTTGAACAATACATTTTTAAATAGTAGCCCCTGCATGAGTGATCGCTAGTATTATAATTAAAGAGGGATGAATTGATTCACACGTGTTGTTAGGTCACTTGACAATTGGGTGAATGGAGGGACCTACAACTTCATTAATCACAAAATGTGTTGGTTTAATGCAACAGTTTTACTTTCTCTTTCTATCCATTCACCGACACAATGTGAAGGGCAGCAAACCCATGTGATGGTGTTTGGGTACAACTAGATTCGGTCCCAGAGCTATTTGTGGATCAATAGTATCAATGCTCTATAATCAGCCATAGGTGAAAAAGCCAATAAATTAAAAAAAAAATACAGATTTAGAACTAATAATAGATGGAAAATTGAAGACGATTTGCTATTGAATGGTATTTCCAATTTCCATTGGGAGAAATTCTCCTTGGTGCTATACAGTGTAAATTTACAATGTTGAAATTTCAACAATATTCTTTGGAAAAATAGGGACATTGGTTTCAATCTCAATCCCCTCCTCAACTTCAATTGCAATGTCTTTTCTTTTCACCAGAAGCTACAAAATTGGAGAATTTAGATTTAATGCTGGTCCATCCTCCATTAGCTTTAAGCGAAGAATCATTCTTTTGGATCCAAAGCTGTAGCCCTTTGAGCTTATGAGCCTACGGAGCTTGTGGCATGGATTGACAACCAAAGGAAATTCTATGCATTGATTCGTTTCTCCACCACTGGCTTCTCTGAAGATCTTGTGTTACTCCTCTAACAATCCATACCATTCAAAAGGTGGATGAAAGTGTCTTCTTTGCAAGGAATCGTTAAGCCACCCATTGGATGATCAAACCCAAACTCTTCCTCCGCTTGACCTAACAAATCTTGGAATGAGGGATGATTCAAGTAGGATACTGGAATAACAAACCTCCTCTTTTCTGCTTCTCCTACATAAACCGCCAAATGACCCTTGGGAACATTGGCTGTTGTTGAACAAAGCGATTGGTTCCTCCCTCCTGAAAGAGAGCGACGAAGAATCTCCTTTGTGGGAAGCAAACGAGGCAAGCGGAAACCCATGGCTTTCAAGGTTATTTGGCAAAAGAAAGATTGACAAGATATTGATCTCGGAAGTTGGTATTAGAAAACACAGAGAGCGTCAACACTAATAGATTGGAATTAGAAAATGAAAGATTCACTTTCCCTCAGCATATGCAGACATATATATATATATAGAGATGGGTAGACCTAGGAAATGGTGTGATCAGAAGGCCATTCGCAAAAGAGTAGCTGGAGAGCCCACAATTATTCATATTAGGCCTTCTAAGGGACATCTTACATGTGAAATCACATGATTTTGCCTTTTAACCCATTTCCTAAAATTTGTTGAGAGTGAATACACTGTGGCCTAAAGTTACCAATGTTTCATGTCCCACTAAACCCACTTGAGTAGACATGAAGAGTGGACAACTGATTGTATATCGCCTGTCCATTCCATTGAGAACCCGTGACATTGTAACCCCTAATGGACAACTAGCTGTTGAGAGGCCTTAGCTTACCAAAAAACTTGTTTGTGTTCCATTTACTCTCAGCCCTTCACATGCGTTGTCTCTTGCTTATGAGTCAAATACAATGAGCTGACACATATATATAACAGATCTTCATGATCATGCACCTCAAAATCGAAGTGAGAAGCATGGAATGGCCATTATTCAAATGGAAGAATGCTACTACAATAAGAATGGGAATGAGATTCCAATTCCACCCAACCAAATTGTTAGAATTGGAATAACCCATTCTGATTCCAATTCCAGACCCTTATTCTCGTAAATCAAACGGGACCTCAGTATTATAATGGAGAGCAATCATATGCAATTTTGGTTAAGCAAGTAGGAGAGGTTTAAGCAACTGTCAGAAAACACAATAGAGGTCTAACTTTTTTTTTTTGGACAGGATTCGGGCTTTCTTAAAAATGCCTAACCTCGAGGCCGAGTTCAACTGGATAATATATTATATAGAAATATATTTTATATAATACATAATATATATGATATGTTTTTTCTTTGTTCCTATTCTTTTTTTTTTTTCAATTCATATAAGATCTTTCATTCATATGGGTTTTAAGGTCTTTAAATATAAATGAAACAGTTTTTTATTGAACAAAAAAAGAAAAAAAAAACTTTGTGCCAAATTTCTGGGTGGGCTTCGGGTTTGCTCAGGTTCAAGACCTTGCCCAATGGTTGAGCCGGGCTCAAGCGTGGGCCTGAATGTTTTCTCTGAATACAAAGACAAAGCCCAGCTTGAACCCAACCCCGATTTGGCCTGTAAACATGTCAAGTTTAGACCATTTGCGATTTAAGATCTATTAAGAGAAAAATTTTATTGGACATTATCAAGAAGCATTACTATTGATAATAATATCTCTTGGTGCTGATCTAGTCCATGCCTTTTAATGGAAAATCAAAAATGGGATTTGTCCAAATTAAACACCATCTCAACCAAGAGCGATATATGATGAATCACTTCTAGTAATAACTGGAGCTTAAATGTTCTAGTAATTTCTGAGTCGTGTCTCTCATCTGATTGGGCAGTACTGTGCAACGGTTACCTGTGCAGCCCTGGCAAATAACGGCTGCGACAGAGGGCCAGTGGCGGTTACGCTCGATTTGACAAGAACATCTGTATTTAAAGGCCCTGGTTTCCAAGGGGCAAAGGTAATTTGAACTGATCTAGCGCTATTATCACTCTTAGCTCTCTTTGCAATTCTTACAGCTCTCTCAGAGTTCTAACTTAAGCATCGGAGTATTCGCACCGGGCGAGCTCCCCGGGAATCCTTCACCTTCCTCTTCTCAGGTACCGTCCGTCGCCAGATAGGAGCCAGGCGTCCGCCAACTAGGAGTGCTCGGATCGCGCTGCATCATTTGGCGTCGTCTGTGGGAACGCTTCAAAAAGCCTTCCTCTAATCTCTGCAACTTTCTCTAAGAACTCAGCATCCATGACTTCCTCTAGCAATGCCGGACGAGGTGCCGACCAGAACGCTTCTAGGGAGCGACCTCTACTCCCCACTGTCTGCATTGGATAGTTCACTGTCCCCTTCTCTGTGGAGGGAGTTCCTAGCCTGAATGTGCCTTAGACAGTGGCACCTGTGAACACTCCGCTCCCTTCCACAGTTGGAGCAACCTTCATTGAACCTTCTGTTATTCCCCTAGTGACCAACCAAAACCAACTTGAAGACCTGGTGCAGTGCATGCGAGCCATGCAAGCTCAAATGCAATAGTTCCAGCAATTTCAACTCTATCAGCAGCAAGTGCTGCATCAAGTTTCTCAGTACCAGTATCAACAGCAGTTCGCTCCACTACCTCAGGCCCAACAGCCGTTTCCCCCTTGGCATCCGGCCACGAAGCAAACCAAGCCCCCCCATTGGAGAGAACGTCCTAGCCGGGGAGAGGCCTCTCAAACCTAGAATCCTTCCAAGAGCCAAGCCTCGTCCCACAGAAGGAAGGAGAGACTAGTCACCCCCGCCTCGCAGCCTACAGGTAGATCAAGGGCTTCCCAGCCGGTCAGGCCCGCATCGCTTCAGCACTCTCAGTTCGAACTTCTGCTCGCCGAAAACCAGTTTGAGGTCCTAGCCATGGATTACAGGCAAGGGCCTTCGGTTCACAACTATCATCAGTAGTCTGAGCCCCTCCCTAGGCTCATCGAGCTCGGTAATACTGAAGCAAGCAACACCAATGTCGAGCCAACAAAGTAGCAGCAGAGGCGCCGACAAGCTCACCGAACTGCCACTCGCGACCTGCCTGAACTCAAGGGTAAGGAGGAAGTAAGCTCAGGTGAAGTAAAAGCTACTCCTCTCCTTTCAGTTCCCTCCCCCTGTCTCCAGAACTTCTTGCTATTCCTATGCGAAAGGACTTCAAGCTTCCTCTTCTGGATAAGTATGACAGATCCTTCGATTCGAATGACCATGTTGATGTCTTCCAGTCCCAGATGCACCTGGCAAGGGCCAGTGAGTCCTGCATGTGCATGGTTTTCTCCACCACCTTCAAAGGAGTGGCCCGCACATGGTACCGGAATCTCATGCCCGAATCAGTAAAAAACTGGGCGCAGTTCGTATAAGTCTTCACTTCCCATTTCGTCACCAGCAAGAGGTACCCGAGAACTCAGGAGAGCCTCCTTGGAATAGTCCAGAAGGAAGGGGAGTCCATTCGGAGTTATATCAAGCGGTTGAATGACGCTTGTTTGCAAATGCCCGACCTGGACCCTGCAGTTCGGCTCACCGCAGCCAAGCGAGGCATTACCCACAAAGAATTCAAGTGGCACGTGATCGTTAATCAGCCCAACACTGTGACCGAGTTCCTCAAGCTCGCGGATCAGTTTATAGGGACAGAGGAGGAGATCAACCAAAAAGGTAAATAGGCCCTTGAGAAAAGAAGAAGGGAAACAGAGTCCTCAACTCAAGGTGATAACAAGAAAAAGAAAGACCAAGCTCGAGGGGCAAGGCCAGGTCAGCCTTTCCGAGCTCCAGCAGCAGAGAGGACGGACTACACGCCCCTAAACGCGAAGCAGGTCGAGATCCTTATGGCGATCAAGGACACCCCGTATGTGAAGTGGCCACTTCGGCTGAAGGCAGATCCTAGTGTAAGAAATAAGAATTTGTATTGTAATTTTCATAAAGATCATGGTCATAGCACCAAAAATTGTAAAAACCTCCGCGACAAGATAGAGGAGCTCATCCGTCGCGGATACTTAAGAAATTTTGTAAAAAATAATAATAATAATAAAGCAGGTCGGCAGGGGGAGTAGAGTAGAGCTGCTCCCGAATCTAGCTGGCAGGCAGAACAACCGTAGAGGCAGCCCCCTAAAGAGAGACCAGTTCGAGGGACTATCCACGTGATTGTCAGAGGTTCGGTTGTTACGGGTTGTACCTCAGCTGCAGCTCGAACATCAGCTCGCGAGGCCGCCAGGGAAGAGCAGAATCCCCCCCCGAAGCAGCCAAGGACGGAAGACCCGATTTTCTTCATAGAGGACGATGCGTGCGGGGTCCACTACCCCCATGATGATGCGCTCATCATAAATATAAAGATTAATGACTTTGAAGTCAGGCGTGTCCTCGTCGACTCTGGCAGCTCGGCAGATATCCTTTTCAAAGTAGCATTCGACCAGCTCCAGCTCCAAGAAAGCGACCTGAAGTCCGCAAATACTCCCCTGGTAGGCTTCAGCGGAGAGGAAGTCAGGCCCCTGGGAAGGATTACAGTACCTGTGGAAGTCGGCACCTGGCCTAGCATAGTGAGGCTCAACCATGACTTCTTAGTGGTCACAACCCCCTCCCTGTACAATGTCATAGTAGGGCGGCCGATCACCCATGCCCTACGTGTGGTGGTCTCCACTTACTATTTGGCAATGAAGTTCCCCACGGACTTCGGGATTGGGATAGCGCGAGGTGACCAACTTGAGTCTCGCAAGTGCTACGTCGCCACCCTCAAAGGGAAAGTCAAGGTGGCTAACGACCTCAAGTTGGAGCGACCTACGGAGTAATGCGAGGAGTGAGCTGCACCTATGGAAGAGACTGTCTCAATCCCAGCATCGACGGAGGACCCAACTCGGACACTTCAGATCGGCGCTTCCATTGAGGAGCCTCTGCGATCTCAACTAATACACTTCTTACTTGAAAATTTAGATGTTTTTGCATGGTCCGTGGTAGAGATGCCTAGCATAGACCCTGGCCTCATAACTCGCAAGCTAAATATTGATCCTGTAGTTAGGCCCGTTAGACAAAAGAAATGCAACTTAGCCCCAGAGCGGTGGAGGGTAGTCGACGAGGAGGTCGGGAAGCTCCTCGCAGCCGACTTTATTAGGGAAGTCCATTACCTGAGCTGGGTGGCCAACCCCGTTCTGGTAAAACAGGCTAACGGTAAATGGTGCATGTGCATCGATTATACCGACCTGAACCGAGCTTTCCCAAAGGACTACTTCCCACTCCCTAGGATCGACCGTCTGGTGGATGCGACCTCAGGGCTATTCGGGCTACAACCAGATCAGGATGGACCCAGCTGACGAAGAAAAGACTGCCTTCATAACTGAGCTCGGCCTGTACTGTTACAAGGTCATGCCCTTTGGATTAAAAAAATGTCGGGGCAACCTTTCAAAGACTTGTAAATAAAATGTTTGAGCCATTAAGTGGCAGAA